TATGAGTAAGCAAGACCTTTGGCTGTTCTGTTTCGTTTCGAGACAGCTTTTCACTATGTAGCTGAAGCTGGCCTCAAACTTGGGAGGTCCTACTGCCCCAGTCTCCCAAGTGCTGGGAGTACTGGGAGTCTATAAGCATGTGCCACCACGATGGCTTGAACTGGCTTTGATGGCCTTACAGTGCCTTGGGAGCCACATGAGGTAGTGAGTTAACTGAGACCCCTGCTGCCTTTTACACTATCAATGAAAGGATGACCTGGGGGCGGGGGCACAGGCAGGTATCAACCAACAGCTTTGAAATTTTTTTCTAAGACAAGAAATGTCTTTGGGGCTGGAGGTGTATCTTAAGCAGAAGAATTCCTGCCTAGCAAGCAGGAAGCCCTGAATTCAAACCCCAGTACAGTCACCAAAAAAAAAAAAAAAAAGAAAAAAAAATTTATTTAAACTCTGTAAACTAGGGAAGGAAAGGAGCTCTTAAAAATGTTCAAATTAAAAAAAAATTTCAATTAAGAAATCACAGTGACAACCTACTTTAAAAAAAACCCACACCTCTACTTAAACACAGTAAAACACTAAAAACAAAGAGATCTTGAAAACAGTCTGAGAATGATTTCAAAGGCACAGGAAAGTAAAGAAAAAAAATCATAAATTGAACTTAATGAAAATTGCAACAAGAGGCAGTATCAGTAATTAAAATGTCAACCACAGAATGGGAAAAAGTGTCTGCAAATCATGTATCTGACAAGGGATTGCTATACAAAATATATACAGAACTCCTAAAACTCAACAGCAAAAATAAAATTCAATTTAAAAATGGGCAAGTAAGCCAGGCGCCAGTGGCTCATGCCTATGACCCTAGCTACTTGGGAGAGTGAGATGGGAGGACTGAAATTTTGACACCACCTGGGGCAAACAGTTCACAAGACACCCATTTCCAAAATAACTAGACCAAAATGGACTGGTGAGGCTCAAGTGGTAAAGTGCCTGCTTTGCAAATACCAAGTCCTGAGTTCAAACCCCAGTCCCACCAAAAAAAAAAAAAAAAAAAAAAACGCACTAAGGATGCTCACAGTCCAGGTACAGGTGGGGGTAGAGATGGAAGGGTCTTTCAGTCCACAAGGTTAGGGACCTGCCTGGACAATACAGCCAGATCAGAGAGCAAAACAAGAAAGAAAAGGCAAAGGACTTGAATAGAAAAAGCTACACAATATAAAAAAAGGCCAATAAGACATGAAGATGCTCAACAACACTGATGTGTAAGGAACACAAGCCAAAACCACACCAAGACAGCACTTCACACCCAATAGGACCATCACATCAGAAACCCAGGAAATAACAAGCGCTATAAGGACTCGATGAAACTGGAGCTCATGTGCACTGCAATACAGACGTGGTGGAAAACAATATGGTGGTCGCTCAAAAAACAAAATATAGAATTACCAGAACTAGGAGTGTTGCTCCATGGCAAAGCACCTACTTATCATGTGTGAGGCCCTGGGTTCAATCCCCAGCACCACAAAAATAAATAAATAAATAAATAAATAAACAAACCTACTCCTGGGTATATACTGAAAAGAACTGAAAGCAGGGTCTCGGAGTGGCATTGTCTGCAATAGTTAATGTTGAGAGATGAACAGATAATCAAAGAGGAGCAAGTGAATCAATGGAGGGTCATCCACTTAAAAAGGGATGAAATCCTCACATATGCTACAACAGAGATTGACGCTTAAGGGCATTAGGGCAAGTGAAACAAGCCAGTCAAAAGGACAAACTGAATGATTTACTTATATGCCGTACGTAAGTGGAATGCTCTCATTCACACAAACAGAAAGCCCACCAGAGGGGGAGAAGGAATGGGGAACTACTGGTACCAACTAACTGGTACCAAGTTTTCAGTTTTGCAAAAACGAAAAGAGTTCTGGAAATGAATGGAGGCTGACAGTTGCACAACACTATCTGTGCACTTCATGACACTGACTGTGTACCTGAAAATAGTTAAGAGAGCAATTCCATGTTACATACATTTTGCTACAATTTTAAAAGCACATGGAGAGCTGGGGTACAGCTCAGTGGTGGAGCACTTGCCTGGCTGGCATGCAAAAGGTGCTAGGTTCCACCCCTACACTTCAAAAACGCTTAGGGGAAAAAGTAGGCCAAGAGCACAATAGATCACCTGAAAAAGAATGACAATTCCATTGCACAAGATTTCTCAGAACAAAATTAAGTAGTAGCATCAAGGTGCTAAGGGAAAATGGTATCAAACTAGATTACCAAACTATCTCTCAAAAATGAGGGTGAAGGGCTGCGGGTGTGACTCAAATATAGAGTCCTGGCCTAGCAAGCCAGTGGCCAGAATTCAATCCCCAGTACTACTAAATAAATAAATGAATAAAAAATAAAAAGGTGGGGATTAAAATAAAAACCTTTTCAGCTGGGAACCAGGAGCTCACACCTATAATTGTAAATACTCAGGAAGCAGAGATCAGGAGGATCACAGTTCAAGGTCAGCCCTGGCAAACAGTTCATGAGATCTTATCTTGAAAAACCAATCACAAAAGAGGACTGACAGAGTAGTTCAAGTGGTAGGGCACCTGCCTAGCAAGCATGAGGCCCTGAGTTCAAACCCCAGAAGCACCAAAAAATTTTTCAACAAGCTGACCTTTAACAGCTAGTGAATAAATAAATTTCCAAAGGATGCACTTCAGAAAAACAGAAGCCATTCAAAATTGAAAATAAGTTCAAGGGTAGTAATTTTACCATAATCTCATTCCAATCATGAGAGAATATTCAATGAACCCAAATAGAGGGACATTCTGAAAAACAACTATCGGTACTCTTCAGCAGTGTCCAGGTCATGAATGACAAGAAAAACTGAAGCCTACTACACAAAAGAAAAGACTAAAAAGAAATAACAACTAAATGCAATGTGGGCCTTGCACAGAATACTTGAGGAGAAAAATGTCATTAGTGGAAGCCTGGTAAAATGCAAATAAGGGTTTCAGCTTCTTTACTAATATTGTACAGGTGTTAACATTATCATCTTGCCCTGGTTGCTATGATCAAATACCTGAGAGAAATAATTTAAGGGAAGGAACGAGTTCTTGGCTCACAGTGTGAGGTTTCCGTCCTTGGTGGGCTTGTTCCAAGTCTGAGCTGTGGCGAGGCAGAGCATCATGGCAGAAGGGCGTGGTAGAACACAGCTGCTCAGCTCATGGCAGGCAGCCAGGAAGCAAAGTGAGAGAAAGCCTGTGCTTTGGGCTTTCTCCTTTCCCTGTTTTACCCACTCAGGCCCCAACCTCTGAGATGGAACTGCCCACATTCAGGGCAGGTCCTCCCGCCTTAGTTAGTCCTCTCTAGAAACCCCTCAGACACACCCAGAGCTCTGGTTTACTAATCTAGGTGTTTCTCAATCCAATCAAGTTGACAATCAAGACTAACATCTCACCATTGATGATTATGGTGATGATTATGTCATGTGCCTATCTGGTACAGATACTATACACCTAGGCTATATGATGTGGATATAGTGTACCTATTGTCCTAAGGCATGATGAACAAAATATGAGACTAAATCAAGTATGAGAGAAAATGATGCAATTAATACACCAATGAACACCAAGCATGTGAGGCTGCAGCCAGTGTAACATGGCATCCAGCTTTACAGGACTTTCTTTGTAACTAAAAGGAGTACACTCCGAAATCATAATAAAACTACAGAACAGCAACTACATAAACCAGTAACAGTTGTTCACCATCACTATCATCAGTCAGGCATTGGCAGCTCACGCTTATAATCCTAGCTACTTGGGAGGCTGAGATCAAGAGGATCGAAGTTCCAGACAAGCCCAGGGAAATAGTTCTCAAGACCCCACCTCCAAAAGAACTAGAGCAGTGGACTGGAGGTGTGGCTCTGCTGTGCAAGTGCAAAGCCCTAGTTCCAAGAACAACAGCAGAAAGTATTATACTGTGAAGGTAGTTGTGCGTGCTGTATTTTTACACGGTTTCTTTACACCAGCATCACCACAAACATGTGAGTATTAGATCAAGATGGTACAATGGCTACAGCTGTACTGGGTCAAAGAAATGTTTCAGCTCCCTTATAATCTTATGGGGCCACAGTTACACAAGAAGTCTATCGCTAACTGAAATATCACATGGCTCACACAAATCATAGCACTTGATCTCATGTTTTCTTCAAGAAATATAGGAGCTGGGTGCTGGTGGCTCATGCCTGTAATCCTAGCTACTTAGGAGGCAGAGATTAGGAGGATCATCATTCAAAGCCAGCCCAAGCAAATAGTTTGCAAGACCCTGTCTTGAAAAACCCATCACAAAAAAAGGCTGGTGGAGTGGTTTGAGGTGTAGGCCCTGAGTTCAAACCCCAGTCCTACAAAAAAAAAGAAAGACAGACAAGAGTGTGTACAAGATAACCAACAGCTAAGAAGAAGAGTGGGTAAAATAGGGAGAGGCTAGAGAGCTATCTGACCCAGTAAGCCTCACACACAATTATTATAAAACACAAACTGACAGAACTTCCTATTTTGGATATAAAAACTTTATCAAAATCAGACTGGTCCTTAGGATATACTGATTAACTGCAAAATTCATCCAAGTTGTCATTGTCACAATATGAAAAACAGTAGGCATTGTTCTGCCTACTGCTACAGGAATTGTAATAGTTAGATGGCAGGCTATAGATTACTCTACCCTAGCAGTTGTTGCGATGAAAAAAAAAAAATCCAAAAATGTTCTACAAAATCAGTCAGTCAAATTAAAGGAATAATTCTTTGTTTTCATTGGGACCATTTGAATTTAATAATTAAATTTTTTTTTTGAGACAGTCTCACTATGTAGCTCAGGCTGATCTCAAACTCAAGATCCCCATGTCTCAGCCTCTTGGGTGCTGGAATTATAGACATGCACCACCATACCTGGCTTGGATTCTTTCTTTACAGGTTCAATTTACACATACACCTACATATAGATATATTCATACATACCTAGACAGACAGTCTACCACGGCTCTCTTCGGCAGTTAGTCAGAATGCTTCACTATAGACCTAGAGTTAAAAGTGAAGAAAAAAACATCCTTTTGTGCTCTATTTTCCACTGTGACGATAGAGACATATACTATCACTCTTATTTTCAAATGCACTAATCTCTGGCTACATATTCGGTTTAGCGCACATACCCAATGCTTCTGTGACTGCAAGTGCAGTGGTCTCCCGACACAGTATTTCTGCTCTGTGACTAACGACTCACACTGTCATGACTACTGCATTTTACTCTTCTTATTTTTAGGGCTTTTTTCTTCTTTCATCGCAGTTTTAAGATTTTATGTCATTTCATGATATCTGTATTTCCTTTTAGGAAACTTACATTTATATAAGTTGTATTTGTTGATTGACTGGTTGAATGCAGTACTGGGGATTGAATCTAGGGCAAGTACTCTATGGCTTGAGTCACGCCCCTAATTCTTTGGTTTTTTTTTTGTTTTGGTTTTGTTTTTGAAGTAGGGTCTCACTAACTCTGCCCAGATTGGCCTGGAATTCATCACCCTCCTGCTTCTGCCTCCCAAGTGTCTGGGATTACAGCAGAGTGCCAACACGCAAGCTAAAAATACGCAATTTTTAACAAGTCAAAAGAACCTATAATATGTAGCAAAAGACTATAAGGGCCTTAAAATATTAATGTTACAAAAGTCTGCTTAACCACATGTATCTTTTCTAAATATAAACTTGTTTCTATTCACGGTAAGCCCACTGTAATAAAAAATAAGTCACAACCATAGCTCACAGCCATCATATAACCAACTGATTAACTGAAATATAATTGAACTTAAACAGAACATACAGAAATAGTATATTTTTATAATTTTAGGAAATGGTGGCAGTAGTGAAAGCATGATCGATCAAAAACATTAGCTAATTTTCAAATCACTCACTTGTACTTGAACGAATTTCTAACACCCTAGAAAAACCAGAAACTGTGGAAAGACCCAACCAAAAAGACTATAAAGGTTTTGGTTTCTCCAAACTACTTCCCCCTATTCCAGCTTTCCTTGCACACAGAATTCTTTGTGGTCTGATGCTTTTTCGTGCCCCTTTGTCAACTCGGTGTCCCACAGTGCCTTTAACATAGGAAACACTCTCTAAGTGTCTGTTCAATGACTCACAGAAAGACCATGGTGGGGAGTCACCATGTCTCTACGCCTACTAACTGGTGTGCTGGTTCATATCATGCCTAAGAAGAGCAAAGGTAAAAAAGGCTTGGGCTATACCTCAGTGGTAGAGCACGTGATTACCAAGCACAAGGCCCTGGGTTCAACCCCCTCACCAAAAAATAAAGAGGGGAAGGTCTTGAATTTGAAAGGATGGTTAACAAAACAGAATAAGGGCACTGAAAAGTACTCAGGATTTAAATTCTGACTAGATCATGGCAAGTTTTTCCAACAGGGAAGAAAAGACATTTAAAAGCATGTGTATTTTAAAAGCAAAGATAATTCCAGTGGCCATGCTTAGGGATAGGAGAGAGTAAAAGATTTAAATAAAAGGAAGGTCAATTGGGAAGCTATTATTGTGCTTCTTAAACAAAAAGTACTGAGGGGATGGCTCCAGCTAGCCTAGGAAACACTAGGCCCTAATTTAATCCCCATTAGCAGGCCTGTTGGTGCCTGACTCTAGAGAGTCTGAGGCAGGAAGATTGAGAGATGCTGGTCAGCCTGGGTTACTTAGTGAGCACCTGTACCAAAAACCAAAACAAAAAACAACAAAAAAAGGAACGATGGCACAGACTAGTAAACAGTATAAATGAAAAAAACAGATATAGACTATCTTTTTTGCTTTAGGCATCTCTATCAAGAAAAATCCTCTTCAGATTGATAGGGGAAAAAAACCAAATTTTGGTACAGTGCATAAAATAGGCAGTTAATAATTTTAATCAATGAATTAATAGAAACTGAACCTCAATACGAATGAGATTAAAGAGAGCTCCTAACTATTATAAGTAAAGCTTCAAAAAGGTGTAGTATTCCAGGTAAAGCTCCACAAAGCTGTGACAATCATTCAGAAACTCTGGGAAACAGGAAGGTTCCGAAAACTGAAGACATGAGATGCAGAACTGTTGTTCAGAGAGAGAATGGGATCCACCAACTATTGATCCCTGAAGCTCAATTTAAGTCCAGACAGGATTCTAGAGCCATTACCAGGACTTTGAGAACACCTAGGAAGAATTAATAATCCACACATGCCACTGGAAAGTAGCATAGATCCATTATGGACAAATAAAGACAAGTGAGAACTCCTACCTTGAGTTATTAAACTGATAGGCCAAGGAAAAGGAGGTATAGGAAGTCTGGATTTTAATACAGCAACTGTCAGAGACCCTCAGATGTTCCTGGTGAAAATCTGGAAATTTCTGAGGTAGAAATGAGCTGAATTCCAGGCCAAGAGCCACAGTGGCTCACGCTTGTAATCCTAACTACTCAGGAGCCAGAAGTCAGGAGGACTGAGGTTCGAAGCCAGTCCAGAGACCCTATCTTGAAAAAAAACACCTCAAAAAAAGGGCTGGTGGAGTGGCTCAAAGTGTAGGTCCTGAGTTAAAACCCAAGTACTGCAAAAAAAAAAGAATTGGTCTGGCCAACTTTAACCAAAGAGTTAATCGTTTTTTATCATCCTTAAGGGAAGTTTCTAGAAGACATGTCCTCTGCTATTAACCCTGCCTATTCAACACTTCAAGAAAACGTTTGCATCAAATTGCAGGATTGTCAAATTTACAAATTCATCAAATGCATAGATTTGATATTTATTACATGACCAAATCAAGACTTTAAAAAAAAAACTGTCAACAGAACTAGAACTAATCCAATAAGGAAAATTTAATACAGGTAAATCCAATATCCTACCAAAAAAAAAAATCTAATAAAGAATCAGAAGAACATGACTTTAAGAACTGGAACAGAGCTGGCCGTGGCAATACATGTCTGTAATCCCAGTCAGTAGGGAAGTAGAGGCTGGAAATCATGGGGTTTGAGGCCAATAGCAAGAACCTCTCTCTCAAAAAAAAAAGAAAGAAAATTGAGAGAGCATGGACAAAGAATTTCAGTCAACTATAAAATCAATAAGTAATAAATATTTTTTCTACCTACTATATATATATACACAGGCGCAAATCACCCATGCCCAGCCCACTTAACTTTTTTATTAACTTATGAGGTAGATCCCATTATTAGCCCATTTTATAGAGGAGAAACTGAGGCTCAGAATATTAACCTAACTCACTCAAGTCACCTAGCCAATAAATTATAGAGTCAGAATTTAAACCCAGGAAGGCTAGCCCCAGCGTTCATCTTCTTAAATAATACAGAAGCTAAAAGTTTAACTTCCTACGTGATTATGAATCCGTATGATGTAGTTGCCAAAGAAGCAAACCTACTCTTTAAATACTTGCTTTAAAAGTAGAGGTGGACTTGGGAGTGACTCAAATGGTAGAGCACCTGCTTAGCAAGTGAGAGCCTAAATTCAACCCCCCAGTACCTCCAGGAAAAAAAAAAAAAAAACCAAAGACCTTCTACACGAACCAAAACAAATTCATAAATAAGCCATTAGTCCTGTTGAAAAGTTAAAATGAAAATGACAGAAAAATCACCAGAAGTTAAAGATTGAGAAGATTTTCTCTAAGAAAGAAAAAAATCTGTGGAATATAAGTATCTTCAAATATCTGAAAATCCACAATGCAGTAAAGAGAGAAAATATCCAGTGAGGATAAACTTCCAGTTCAGTAGAAGAAAAGTGTGATAGCATGCCTGTGACCCCAACTGTTCAAGAGGCAGAGATAGGAGGATCACGATTTGAAGCCAGCCCAGGGGAAACATGAGACTCTCTCTGAAAATTAACTAAAAAGCAAAAGGACTAATGGTAAGGTTCAAGTGGTACAGCACTTGTTCAATCCCCAATTCAAAAGGGAGAGAGAGGAAGGGAGGGAGGGGGGAGGAAGGGAGGATGGATTTTATAAAAACCAGTTGTCCGGTGGTACAGCACCTGCCTAGCAAGCCCAAGGCCCTGAGTTCAACTCCTAGTCCACCTTGGCATGGTGGTGCACACCTGCAATCCTAGCACGGATTACAGGACACGGAGGCCTGGGCTACACAGTAAGTCCAAGGCCAGCCTGGAACATACAAAGAGACCATGACTCAAAAAACAAAAATCAGTTGTCCAAATATCTTTGCCTCAGAAACTATGAATCACCTCTCCAGAAAAATATACAAATGCAAATTATTTTGCAAAACAGTTTAAGGATTCACAAACCTACTTTTCAACCTATGCCTAAAGTCACGTATCCCAGATTAAAACAGATTCAAGTATTTAATCATCCTTAAAATCCACTCTAATGCGAAATTCTGTGACCTAAAAGAACTGTTAATCTATGCTTCCTAGTTTCTTCTGAGATCTGTTATGAGACATATTGCAATGAGTTTAAAGAGGAAAGCACTTAGATTGCATTTCACAGCCCCCCAAGCCCCCCACTGGGGGTCAAACCCAGTGCTCCACCACGGAGCTACGCCCCAAGCCTCCAGCTGCACCCACAGCACACATATCGGTTAAGAATTTCGGCTACCAGGGAAAAACTGGCTTGTGCCACTTGGAATGCACCATGCACCACGGAGCAGGGAGGATTCCCATCACAGAATGGTAATCTATTAAGTATTTCATATCAGAAACACTCAATTTTCCTTAAGTAAACAACCAGTACTAGACCACCGAAAAGCAAGAGTTCAGTAAACCCTGGGCCTTTATGAACGAATGTAAGTGCTCCAGGACTGAAACTAAGTGCACTGCCAGCAGTGCCACAGACACCACGTCTGCCATTAGACTAGACTGGTTCCAGCACAAGATGTTCTAATAAACAACAAACAAACCCAGTACACACGCGTGACAGAACCTGGGGTCTAGGCAGTCCGTCTTCTCGAGCTATTTGAGAATGGATACTGACATCAATGTATAGTAATAGGCAGTATGAATTTATACAGAATTTAGACAGTATAATTTAGCTGTAGCTAAATTATATATATGTATATACTTAAATATATATATTTCCAATGAAATGGACAAGCAAAATGCAATCAGTGTAGGTGAGTTTTAGGAACATAATTCTGATGCACAGAAAGAAGAAACTTCAAACTGTATTTACAGACGATGATTTCCAGCCACAAAGACAAGAGGAAACAAGTGGTCCATTCGGCAGCTGGGAAGCCAAATGAAAAGGCAAAAAACTGGGACGTGGGGAGGAACGGGGAGAAGGGCACTGACTTGGAAGAGGAGAGTAGGTGGGTGGAGAGGGAGCCTGAGCCCCTGAGATGAAAGGAGGAAAAGAGGTCGGAGCAGTGAACATGGACAAGGAAGGAGCCTGTCCCCTGCCTCAGCAGCAGACGGGAGGCCATCCGCGTCCCTTGGTGAACCAGCACCCAGGCGAGTTCCCAATAAAAACGCCAGCAGGTGCAGCGCGCGAGTCCGTGGCGAGCTTCGTCCACGTGCATGGCGCAGTCGGGCCCCGCGCCGCCCCGGGAGGGACGCGTTTACAGACGCGCCCGCCGAGGCCACCCGTGCCAGGGGACACGGCTGGCCGTCCCTTGGCGAGATCCTCCGGACGGTGGAGCAGGACCCCAACGCGACGGATCCTCCACTTTAGAGAAGAGTCCCCTTAAGGGGGCATCTGAGGTTCCCCCAGGGACACAAAGCTCTGCAACCCGAAGAAACACCTGGTGAGGGCAGCTCGAGGCTCGCGGTCACGAAGGGAGAAGGTAGGGGAAAAAACTGACCCCAAAGCCACCCTCCGCTCTGCCGAAAGGGACCAGGAGAACGCAGCCCTTGCCCTCGTCCCTCGTCCACCGGGCGCGGCTCAGGATCGCCCCTGAGCCTGTGGCCTGTGGTCCCGTCAGACCCGCAAGGGTCACTCGGTCCGGCCTCGGAGACGCCACTCGAGGTGACAAGGCGGCCCCGACGCTCCGGGAGGGAAACCTGCCCAGGCACGCTCCGGCCCGGGTCCAAAGGCCCTCGGCCTGCGGGCCCGCGCCCTGGTCCCGGACCTTACCGCCGCTCGGACGCGGAGGACCCGGGGCCGCGCCCACGTCTTCGGGCGCTGCAGCTCCTCGCGAGCCCGCGCTTGGGGTCCCGGCGGACGCACGCCCGGGAAGCGGTGGCCGGCCGGGTGGACGCCCGGGACGCTGGCCGTGCGCGCGCCCTCGAGTCTAGCCAAAGAGAAAGGGTCAGGGCGCGCCCCGGGTGCCAGGCAGCGACGGCCGCACGGCTCAGAGCGCTGCCGACTCCATCCGCCCTCACCACGCAGAGCCACTGCCCCGCTTCCCCCGCGCCAGCTTTGGCGGCGGAGCAGCACGGTGCGCGCCCATTGGCCCTCGGGTGCGTGACGCGAGGCGACGCTCTCCGCGGATTGGCTCAGCTGGCGGTGCGTGCAGGGAGTAAACAAACCCCGCCCCTAGGCTTCCCAATGAGGGGAGGGGGCCGCGCGAGGGAAGGCGGGATCTCACGCACTCGGCCCCGCCCCTTGACCCCCCACACCCCGGGCTGCTCAATAGGTGCCCGGCTGCGACCCGGTCACCCTGTCCCCCTCCACCTTCCGCGGGTTGGGCGGCCTGCGGGACTCAAGCCTAAAATTTAGAAGCACCCCCTTCCGTCCTGCACCTTCTACCCCCTCACCACCGCCCACCCACCCCCAACACCCCGATCCCCTGCTCAAGGCTGTGACTCTCTTTTTTTGATCTGTCCCCAAAGCTGGAAAACTCCCGTCTCTGTTGGAAAGAGGGAACCTAGGGCAGTGATATCTCAGGCCCCAGGCCTTTGATGGGTCGCCCCGGGGGAGCAGCGAGAAAGGGGGATGGGGACAAGTGACCATGAGTGAGGCCACGCATGGGACCTAGTGTGGGGCATCCCGAAATTATTCCCACAATGGATTAGAGCCCACTGGGTGCCTTGGTATCCAGGCAAATTAAGATCCCAACCAGGCCAGGTCATCATGTCACGTGGGAGGTGGACAGAAAATTCATGCACACAACCCAAAATACCTGTCTCTGAAGTGGGCTATCTAGGAGACCCTGTCTTTAAAAAAAGAAAGAAAGAAAAAAGAAACAAACAAACAGAAAAGAAAAAGAAATAAGCAAAATAAAAACTGTGTTACATGATGATAGGAGCTATGAAAGAAATTAAGCACTGGCTGGGACAAGGTTAAGTGGTAGAGCACTTGTCTAGCCCTGAGTTCAAAATCCAAAATACTGCAAAAAAAAAAAAAAAAAAAAAAGCAGAGAAGGATGGCTCAGTCTTAAAAATAAGGAGATAAGGGATCAATATCTAAATGAGGTGAGGGAGGCAAGAGAGCACCTTTGGATCTTTCTTTGGGGAAGGGTGGGCAGACAGTTTCTGCACAATTGTTCATAGGTAAAGTCAGCAGACTCCAAGAATATCAACTGAGTACTCCACTTACAGATTCTAATATGCAAAAACGCCAATAGAGTGAGTACATTCTCCAGTACAAATCACTAAGAATTTATTTAGTTTCCCCCAAAATCTTGTTAAGATATTATGTTCAATTTATCTAACAAATACTTATCACACTAGGCACTAAAGGTAGAAAATTAGCAAGGCAAAAAACCCTCCACCCTCAAGCAATTCAGTTCATCTCCAGGGGAAGGACGAAGTTCTTCTTTTTTTTTTGGTGGGATTGGAGTTTGAACTCAGGGCTTCACACTTGCAAATTGGGTGCTTTGCCACTTGAGCCACACCTTCAGGCCATTTTGCTTTGGCTATTTTGGGTTTTTTTGGGGGGAGGGGGTGGAAGCACTGGGATTTGAATTCAGGGCCTCATGCTTGCTAGGTAGGCACTCTTACTGCTTGAGCCACTCCGCCAGCCCTTTTGTGTGATGTTTTGTTTTGTTTTTTGCTTTTCTTAGATAGGATCTTCTGAACTATTTTTGAGGCAACTATTGGGGCTGGCTTCAAACCACAATCCTGATCTCTGCCTCTTGAGTAGCTGGGATTATAGACGTGAGTCACCAGAACCTGGCAATAACAGTTGAACCATATGAAATTACTAATTTTTGTCAATGTTCTCATGATTTACTCTTGAGGGTTAAAAGGAGACTTTTGTTATGAATGCACATAGTAAGTGTTCAATACACAATGACAATTATCACTCTGCAACTTTGCTTTAGAAGAAAATGATTTGAAAGTCAATCTTTCATAACACACAAAGTAAAATGGCCAGTGAAGCTTTCAAATTTTCCACAGACTAGTTTGATCTAGCTGTGAATTTCCATGGCCTAATCAGAGTAGCTGGAAGACAGTAAATGCTAGCTTCACAGCAGGCCAAGAAATTCAGAATAAGGAGGAACAGCTTGGTTTGGAAGCCAAAAACTGAAAGTTCTCCAGAACAGAATAAGTTGTTAAGTTGCCACAGGGAAGGAAATTCATGTAAATCAATTTTTCATTCCCACTCATACTTTCGATTTAGCAATTTGCACAACAGTCAGCTTTCTGTCTTTCTTCTTCTTTCCCCATTAAGGGATCTTATTTCCTTTGAAAAGGAAAATAAAGCTTCCACACTCTCCAATGCCAGAAAATAGATGTATGAAATGTGATAGCACACTTACTGGTTCAGCAAACACTTACTAAGTTCTTACTGTGTGCCAAGAACTGTGCAAGTCAATGGAAATACAAACACAAATGTCCCAGGAGCTCTGCTAACTGGTATCCCTTAAGATCAAAACAACCCCCCAGTCCACCCACAACTCACCTACTGGCTTAAGTAGCCTGCTCACCTAAGTTTAAATTATACTTGCTCAGAAATACTTCTCTTGGTCTGGTGGAGTGGCTCAAGTGGTAGAGCACCTACCTAGCAAGCGTGAGGCCCTGAGTTCAAACCTCAATACCACCAAAAAAAAAAAAATCTAGTATATCCAAAACTAGTGTTTTCCATTCTGTCCTCAAATAATTTAAAAATGCCTTTATTAAAAAACAAATACTTCTCTTGACCCGCCCTCCCAGCTCCAGCTCTTTCTCCATAAAATTCTACTTGCTTCTAACATTCATTAAACTTGTCATTCTTCACCTATTCGACCAAACTCCTGCAGAGTGGAGCTATGGTGCGTGGTCACTGCCACAACTGCAGCATTTAACAGAAGCTCAGTGCATTTTGAATGTCACAATTGCATGGATGAGGACACTGCAGCCCAGCGTACTTGCAAGGAGGAGAGAGGTATAAATAAAGTCCCCCACTTATGAACCTGGCCACACAATCACCAACCAAGAGGCTGTGGAAAGGACAGGTGTGCTGCAGTCAAGCCTGGGGGTTTCCATGAGCTGCCTTTCTCCTGCAAGGGGAGGAAAAGGAGTCCTGGGCCAGTGTCTCAATTTTTAATGTCCCAATGTATCACCTGGAGAATTCTCATTCTAAGCCGGGGTCTGGATTCTACATGTTTTGTTTTTTTTTGTGGCAAGGGGTTTTGAACTCAGAGCCTCATGCTTGTGAGGTTGGCACTCTGCAGTTGAGCCACGCCCTCTGTCCTAGATCCAACAAGCTTCTAAGGGTGCCAGTGCTGCCTCACCAGCCAAACATCACACTTTGAGTAGCAACAGATTTGTGTTGTCACAACAGTGACTGATACGACTTTTTTTCTTTTTAAACAGCACTGTCTTTTACACCTAAGCTGTTCAGTAACTGACAAAAGGAGCAACACCACCTAAGAGAGAAGTGTGAAGTCTGGGTGTTGTGTAGATACACCCCGGTAGGTACAGATTAACCAATACAGGGCAGAGTTGACCTTCCTCGGAGGCAGGTACAACCTCTGACTCTTTCTTCTTTCTCTCACACTTTCTCTTTTTCTCTTTCTACCCTCCTCTCTCTCCCCCTTCCCTTCCCTTCCCCTCCCCTCCCTCCCTTACCCTCTCGACAGGGTCTCAATATGTACCCCCAGAACTCACAAGCCTCCCATCTCAACCTCCCTCATGCTGGGATCACAGGCATGGATGCCACACCCAGCCTAAAGTCTTCTTTATAAAATATTTTATTTATCCTAAAAATATTAAAGCAAATGTGCAGAATAAGGAATGATGATAGGGCTGGGGTGTAGCTCAGTGACACAGCACTGGGCCAACATGAACGGTTCTGGACTGGATCCCCAACACCGGCAAAAAACCCAACACCGTTAGAGCTCTGACCTCGCCTCTCCAATGAGCCCCTCTGCCTTTCCAGTCCCAAATAGCATCCTGAATTTTGCTTATAAATTCCTTGTTTTTCTTATTATTTTCACACACACTACATACCTCCCAACAATATACTAATTAGTTTCTCAGGTGTTTTGATCCTCAACATATCTTCAAAGTCAAAATATATTTTTAAGGTCTGCAAACAATTTTTCACTCATCATTTTATGTGAGAGTCATGTGTTTTAGGTGTATCAAATTGGGTGCCCATTTTTAAAATTATAGTTTTTATACAACAAAATCTCTGATAGACATTTGGGTGTCTGACCTTTCCCCACGGCAAGGTTTATATCGTGTACCTGTCTCCCTTGTGCATGTGACAATTTCCACGGGGTCTTAAATTATGGACAAAGGTGACAGTCAAAATATTTAACAACTGACAATGCACAGATCTTAGCTAGTTCTCCTTTTCCAAAAGCAACCTGACACAAATTCTTCTGGGTTTTGTGTGTGTATGTGTTGACAGAGTCGATATTGTCCACGCAGATCTCAAACTTCTGGGTTTAGCTTCCAGAGTAGCTGGGACTACAGGCATGCATCACTACACCCACATGGTATCCATGATGTCTAAGTGGTCTCAATGCATCTTCTCACAAGATTCTTATTAATACAAAAGAGTAAAATAGGAACCTTACAGCAGAAAGACTTGGCAGACACCCCCTTGATCAAGTGATCAAGGTTAACATGGTCAGTAATAATTCACAGATACACTTTCATGACAGGATGCAAGAAGTCCCCATCTGACCTCTGTAATAATCTAATGAAAATGCAGAACCTTCATTCAATCACAAGAAAACATCACGCCGACTAAAATGGGGGACATTCCATAAAATAATCGCCACTATTCTTCAAAACTGTCTAGGTCATGGAAGACAAGACTGAGGACCTGTGTCAGATTAGAGGAGATGACGAAGATAAGGAAAATTAAATGTGATGTGGGATCATGGATCGAATTTGGAACTAGAGAAAGGACATCGGTCAGAAAAAAGGCAAAATTCAAACCAGGCCCCCAGGTTACTCAATACCTCTGCGTCAATGTGAATTTCCTGACGTGTGCAATTATACTACAGCTATGCCAGGTATCAACT